TACGCGTAATTAAACATTATTATTATTATTATTGTTATAAGTAAACGTTGAACGGTTTAACCCCTCCTCACAGTTTAAAACTCATATCGTTTGTCAAACACCGAAGTATATCCGTTGCCATGTTTCTTTTTCGCGACAAGCGCGTACCGCGTGCGAAGACGTGTCTACGGAAATGTTTATGCGTACAAACCTAAACTACGGTACGCGTACAGGTCCCGCACACGCTGCAGCGGTAAAATTGTATCCCATGTATTGTGATTAGAGACCACACACTGCAGCGGTATCATATCGCGACGCGGTTTTTACAGATACCGTTGCATGCTCGAATTTTACCGCTACCGCCCAGTGGTTTTCGATATTCCACTTGAAATTCGTCGTCATTAAATTCAACGCCAGTATTTCAAATAGCATTTTATTACTTATTAGTTATTACCGTATACAAGATAATGAAAAGCTATGCACCTATAGTTACGTGAAATTAACATTTAGCATTCGTTAACATATTTTATTATTAAATATTATAATTATAATAATTATGGGGTGAATCACTGCATAGATTGTCAATAGTTCGTCATAACAATATTACTGTACAGAATGTAGTAAATGACAAATGTACAGAACTGAAAATTGTTGACTGCAGACTAATGTGCTAAGAAATATGTGTGTGTGTGTGTGTATGTGTTACATTTACAACAAGAGAAAAGTCCGTATTCTAAAATTGTTAACTATTTAGCCTCCAAATTAACGTAATGAAATTAACGATGATAGCTATAAATATACTTTTTCCATAACTATGCTTTGGTATTCGAAAAAGGAAATAATAAAACACAAATACCCAATTATATTTGTATTAAATTCAAATTTAAAAATAAAAATGAACTAGGTGTGTCAGACAGTTCCCTGTGATCCTATCTATGAATATACTAAATAACATGAGTTTTACGTACATATGTATTGCAGTAATTACTTAGTCAGTAAGTAAGTAATAATTGCTCATAACTGTAATTACAGGTATACGCAATTAGTTTTATTTTATTCCGTAATATATTACATTATAATAGAATATTATTCAACAATACTGTACTACAAAACCATTAATTTGTGTTACTATAAATTATATAATATTGGAAAATTGCCGCAATGCAATGTGAATTAATGACAGTTTATTATTTCCCGGGAGTTTAAATAGTTTAATTAAAAATCCACAAGTCATCGCTACCACCGAAGTTTGTGCGAGCTATAAAATCGCCATCGGTACCGCTGCAGTGCGTGCGGACTCTTAATACGGCCAGAAGCGGCCGGATCATCGCCGTCGGTATCGACGTGGTGGAACAACGGTCGTTTTAGGCAATATTTCCTGGCGGAGGAGACTCCGGATGTCGTATACGCAATTATGGTTGCTCCGGGTATTTTTGCTATTTCGTGAAGAAAAAAAAAAAAGGTATCGAACGTTTGGAAGCTCGATTTCTCTGCTAATCCACCGACCGTACAACACGAATCCATTTGACGTGCGTTGTTTTTAGAGGGGCAACGGTTTTCTTTTAACCCGCAAAGGCCGCGTTCGACGGCAAAACGCGGTTTCGCGGTTCGCGCTTCTCCTGCAGGACCGCACGTGCTGTCGAACGGTCATGCGGGTGATCCGCGGTCGTGGATTTTTTTTTTTTTTAAATTTTTTCGCCGTCGATCCCTACGAAAGACGTTCCTATACGGACGTGACGCAGGCATCACGTTCCGCCGCAGCCGGACGAAACCACGAGTGTTGCGTCGTGTACCTACCGCCGGCAACGCGTCGGCGGTGGAATTCGCGTACCACAATAGCGATACAATTATTCGAATGTCAACCGCGGGATAATGTTATAACGCGCGACGTCGATGCCGTCCGCCGTTCATCCGCGATTTATCGGCCCTACGATAATATCGCGCGCGCGTCGATGCGCACGTACGCGACGACACAATGGAGCGATGACGCGACGGCACCGCATTCCGTTCGCACAATAATCGAACACCTATTATGCTCCGCGCGGACGGATTTACACGGTCGCCGGTGACGTCCACCGGTATTTCAATGGCTCTTCGGCCCGGTGGCCGGGGAGGGGGGCTGGCGATCTGCGCGCAGCCAAAGATATTTGAACGCGACTCGGAAACGATACGCCGCGTCGGCGGGTCATAAATATACCTACTGCGACATCGTAACAACAACGACAGTAGTGCCATTGATTTTTTTTAGAATAATACGTATGCACTAGTCGAACTACCCGGCGTTGCCCGGAAAAATTGATTGTTCAACTCCTTTAGGGTGTAACTCGACGTGGGAGCAATATCTTTTTAGGTATAAGTCACCCGAATCGACGTATGAAATAAAATAACGTGTACAACTCTTGAGAAATAAAAAAAAAAAAAAAAATGGATACGTCAATATTCAGTTGTGTAGCTGTTGGCGGGCGATGGACGTATCGCCCCTGTCCTGGAATTTTGTATTGGTAATGTTTAATCACCCCTAAAATAGTAACGTTAATTTACATCGCACTATGGGTAACGATGCGTAAAATATACGGGCAATACCTTCATAATTCTCATCTTCCGACGTTTCATTCAAAATACGAATAATAGTTGAACTATCAGCCATTATTGACACAGTATTGCGAACTGTGCATAAAATGTACGTATAATATTTAGTGCGTATTGGTAAACATTCGTATATTTTACGTAGTTCAATTCACATTTATTGGTATCGATGCGTAAAGCAAATATATGGAGGTTTATAGTAGATGGTATTATGCACAGAGCTGGAGGTAAAATGTGATAAAAAGCATATCAAAAAATATACTTAACTGACAATAGTAAAATTATTACAAGTGCGATAGCATTACTCGTTTTTGATTAATTCTTTGTGTCAAGTTCGTTACATTCTTCCTATCGCGGTTACTTTAGTTTACATCGCGGTTATCTACACAAGCTGTAACTCGCGCTATGCTCTACTGAACAACAGATCGACCTAGGGTGGTGGCCAAGTGAACTACAATGCTAGTTATGTTCGTGGCTCTACTTTCGTATGTAGAACATACGTCGTTTTGTACTTTTTTGTTAATTTTTTCGAATGTAATTGATTTACGAACAAAGTGCTCATCACTTATCATATTTTCATTTTACTGTTTTTGCCAGAGACAAGGTGGATATATATCCACCTTGGTCAGAAAGAACTATGTTCAAAAGTAAAAAACCATCGTAGGGGAAGATGGGGGAATGGCGGCCACCTAAGCGGGAGTTCATGTATCCCCGGTAATAATGAACCAAATATTTTACTATTTCTAAAATTAGAACTACAAAGCTGTTAGCAACTACATATATAAGTTTCAAATTTTAAAAGTTAAGTGTTATATTTTTTTTTTCATTTAAAAAAAAAAAACGCAAATGACCGGCATTACCCATATAGTGGGGTAATACAAATCACACAAAAATACATGTAAAAGTAAAGGACAAAACAAAAATTTCTTAAAATCTTACAAATTATGATCAAAATATGATGTCATCTGTACAGACATATTTATCAATATTAAGAATTACTAAAATGCATTAGAAATGTATAATTTTTGTATTAATAAATTTTAAAAGTATAAAAAAATATATTTTAGGTACCAAAAGTGAACAAACTTTTAATTTATTTAAATTAAAATTTTTTTTTATGCATTGTATTTTGTATATCAGATTATATATTATTAATAAACAAGTATAAGTTACCTAATATATAAAATATAGGCAGGTAAATATGTATTTTCATAATATAATAATCATTAAATAGAATAGATATATAAATTTTAGTCCACATCCTTGGTAAAAAAAAAAAAAAAAAAACAAATTATAATATGTATAGCTCTTAGGTAGACAAGTCTTTTCATCAAATTTAACAATTAATAATAACAAAACTAGTTAACACTTAGGTATAATTTAGTATACAAATATCAGGAACTTAATTATTTATTTCAGTCTTTCTTAAATGTCGATTACATATATCACAAATGTAGCCTTCTGGTGAATCTGCATCGTTGCAATCAGCGTGTACCCAAAACCCACAACTAGTGCATCGTACCAAACTTCATTTTTACCATACTCTTCACAAATTAAACATAATTCACTGCCATCATTGGTATTGTCATCACTATCATCATCACATATCTCCATTATATCAACACTTTCATCATCACTTGATTGATCAAAAAGTCTTTTTGAAGAGATTTTTATTTTTTTTTTAGCTATAAAAACACAAACCAATTTGATTACATATTTTTTTTTTGTAGTTAGTACCTAAAATATACCTATCCATCTTAATAATTTAAATATATACTGATTCTACTTACATTTGTGTTTTGAATAATTTTCAAATTCATTAAAAAGGTTTTGTTTTTTGGTTTCATCTTTTTTTGTACCTAAAAAAATACAAAAATAAAATGTAAATAATATTTTATTTTTACTACCAAACTATATTTACTTACATCTAGGTTTAGAATTTCCTATTTTTCAAAGTTTTGCTTCTACTTTTGTTAACTTTTCTTTTCTTTTTTTTTCTCTTTCTTGCAGTTTATCTTTCATGGGAGTACCTGTTATCAAAGTGGAGTGCTGTTTAGCAGCTACTCTTCTCACAATTTTTATTGGCATTTTTTTAGGATTTGGTGTTAATTCTTCAATACTAACCAGGCTTTGAGATATTTGAGGTGAAACAAGAGAATCATCAGCATTCTTAGAAGATTGAGGAGTTGAGTTTAAAATACTAGGAGTTTCAATTACATTAATTGGATTATCACAATTTAAAGTGGCAGAAGCAAAATAATCTTCATCGGTGAATATATTCGGATTCATTGGCACAATGCCAGTTGAGGCAAACCCTGAAATCCCTTTCTGTATTGTAGCTACACAAGAATAAGCTTTATTAAATAACACTGCTAAGTCATATGGTGTTATTTTTACTAGACAATGTGATTTAATATATAAATCACACTCTTTTTTTAAATGCAGTTTTTAGTGGACCAAAAAAAACTAACATCTAATGGCTGTAGTCTATGGAAAGTATGTGATGGTAATGATAACATAATAATATGTTTTGATCTGCAAAACTCATAGGCTGCCATGGAAATATGATTGTTGTGGTTATCTAATATTAATAAGACAGAATATTCTTGAGATGGTTTTGCATGATAGTTGAAATGTTTGAGCCATTCAAGAAAAACTTCTTCATTAGTCCAACCATTTTTAGTTAGTTGATTGCTCATCCTTTTCCTAGGAAAAATGAAAGTTGGTGGAATAAATGTTCCAGATGAACTCATTCCACAGAATACTGTTACATTCTTTCCTCTTTCCCAACTAGTAATAGAGCCCACTCTTTTCTGGCCTTTTGAAGCAATAATTTTGCCTGGATCTTCTACTGTACTAATCCTTGTCTCGTCCATATTATAAATATTAGCTGGAGTAAAATGATATTTTTCCATTACTTTTTTAAGATTTTGAAAGAATAGTGTTACCTCTGTTTTGTTAAATGCAGTAATTCGACTTATGCTAGTGCCTTCAGGTTTTTTTCAGTTACAGAATAATTCCGTCTAATAAAATTTTGAAACAAATCAACACCAGCAAGCTTATGATGATGATTAAACTTGTTTTTAATACTATTTTTAACAGCGAATGTATAGGTAGCTGCTCTTAGTTGTAAAGGGGTCAAACCATAAAAAAGATTAGCTAGTTTAATTAGATGATCAGCAATTTTTTGTTCATTTGATGATGAAAACACTGACAAACAACCTAAACTTGGTGGTTGATAATTACTATGGTTTATTCTTTCTTGAAGAGTACTGTATGGTATATTGCATTTTTTAGTAGCTTTACGCATACTCATCTCTTTATTAGCAACAACATTTATGGCTTGTATTGTCTTCGGTTTTCCAACTAGCTTTAGTTGTTTTTCGAACGTATGTTCGTGGCATCTAAAATAAATTATTAACCTATTTAAATTATAATATTTAATATAATTTATTTGAGACGGGGTAATGACAGTCGGACAAAATTTTACCGCAGTTACCCCATCATATTTGGCCGGTAATACCCCTTTCATAATTATTTTTAAATACATGCATTTACTTATAAACTATATTATTTAGGTAAATCATGATCACATAATTGCAATCCTCATAATATTTAGAGATAAATACAACCATTAATGTAGAAAAAAAAATTAAAACTCTTACCTTCAGATGATTTTCGATTTTGAAAAATATTAGATCAAAAGTGATAATAAATTGATAACAAACTTTTGGGGGGGAAAAATTGTGATTATCATTTTGAGACATCTGGTATTAGGTTTTAATAACAACACTTATCAAATAACGTTGAAATCTAAATTTTAGCTATCATATTTCATGAGATATATCACTGACCGGTAATACCCACTGGCCGCCATTCCTCCATGTTCCTCTATCTATTCTCTTTGCAAACGTAATATTTAATTATTGTTTCCATGATTAAATATAATATAATTATATGATTATATCTTTAATCGTAATAATTACGATTATTGTTAAATTATACCTATGGTGAATTGTTGTGTTGCGGGCTGTACATCTGGCTATAAAAGCAACCCTGAAAAAATCCCTCAGTTCTGTGTACCTAAAGATGTTAAACAACGCGAAGTTTGGGCAAAAGCTATTCCTAGAAGAGACTTTATTTCAACGCAAAAACACTTTGTTTCAAACATTTCCGTGAAGATGACTCCGTAAGATATTGGAAATCTGGTGACATACAGGTTAGTCATTATTAATTAATTTATGAACATAATTTAATTGTATGCACTAGGTGCACAATATATTAAAATTATCTCAATACATTTCATGTAAGCCATAAGAAAGTGGCTAATCAGTTGATCACGAAAATCCATCTTATCTAAAATTCTACATATCCCCCTCCCCCCGTGAGAACGTCCATGATATTTATAATCGGGTACGCCGTCGTATTGCTACGATCGGAAGCGCTTCCGAGGACGAAGCCGCAGAGACGTCGCCGCGATCGTTTGCGTTGGACGTGATCAGCGTTTCGACCGTTGGAAACCGTTGCCGTTCGTACGCCGTCGAACGACGCGAACAGCGACTTCCAATGGCCTCCGTCCACGTAGGCGGTACCGACTTGAACTTCGCGGCCGCTGCACGTCGTTACGAAACCGTATATTCTAATAATAATAATAATAATAATAATAAAAACGATAATAAGCGGTTGTGACGAATGCGTGCCCGCGTTCCGCCGGATCGATATTCGATCGTGGGCTCCGTGGACGTGTGATGATACTGCGCTGGGTGTTCGACGGACTGCCGTCCGTATACGGAGCGGTTAAAGCGTTACGTCGACAGCAACAGTAATGCATTAACACTGGCACACCGCACGCGCCGGATCGGTCCTCCAATCATATCGCTGTGACGTTCACAGCCGCTGTATTAAACGCAGTAGTGCATGTCGTTGCCGTTCATTATTATCGTCGATCGTGCACGTGTCGTGTACGAAGACCTGAAAGACCTGAGTACGGGCGCGCACGTCCATCGTGTCGAATCCGCGACCAACGCGCGCGCGATGTCGTATTTTCAAATTGTTTGTAATTTTTCCAAAAAAAAAAAAAAAAAAATAAGCGATTTTATAATATTGTAAAAACGTACACATTACGTACGGATCGATAATTATATTATTATTATTATTATTATTATTATTATTATTATTATCATTACAATTATTAAAACATACAAACGAAGAATTATTTACAACCGTGTTGTATGAATATTACCGTACGCGTAATAAATTGTAATTCGATTGCTATCGTACTTAGGATTCGGACGTTACGTAAAACGCGTTTGTCAACGGATCCGGTCGACGTTTTCGCCGGACTCGTTTGAACTCGTGGACGTCCCTTCGTGGCCGGTGGTCGTACACGAGTTCAACCGGTAGCAAACCAAAATACCATACAGGTGTAATATATGTACGCGTCGAAATCATTACGATTGGTTTCAACGCGATTTTATTTACAATTTTCGACGTGGTGTTATGCTCAGGGCCGTATTTAGGGGGGGAGCTACAGGGTGTTATTGCCCCTGGCGGCTGAATATGAGAGGGCGGCTAATTTTTTATATTTTCAATATTTAAAGATCTTATATTTTTGAAATGAAACTTCTTTACAAAATAAAAAGTGTGTCTCAAAAAAATATATATATATTGCCAATCACGACGTTATGACACACACATACACACACATACTTGGTAACGGTCGAGTACTGTCGATAGATCCAGAGATTTACAATATATCCTTATGTTGACATTGCACTTGGAATGTTTTTGTGTACATCAGCAACGAATTGTTCTTCAGAAAAATCTTTTTCAAACTGCAGAAATTTATATTTGGTATAATGAAGCGTTTTTTATTGTTGCCCCCTGGTGTCAAATTTCTAAATAAGGCCCTGGTTATGCTTATTTGTCTGCGTCTACCCACCAAATGCGCAATCCGCATTCAACCGCGCTTGTGTATCGGTATACGTATTGTACATATCTAGCAGCAAATCTGTTTTAAATGTAGTTAAAAAATAGAATTTATTTTCGTCTTGATTTGAACAACGATTTATAAAAAATAAAAAACCCAAAAAAAACGTAGTATTTATATACGCTCTACCGACAATGACGGGTGTTCGCAATTAAAAAAAAAAAAATTGTACACAAGAGAATACGATTTGAAAAAGTTATTGTCGCTTAGTGAACTAATAATATAACGATAAAAATGTAGTGCTACAATCTCACGACGACGTTACGCATCGTTAAAAAACATTTAATGTGAATTTATTTAATCGAAAAAAATAAATAAATAAAAATACAGTGTAAACGTATGCTATGTATACGTGTATGTTTAACGTTTGTAAACAACTAGTCGATAAATATCCTGAAATACAAAGTCTAACTTCGAGTCACAGAATGAGACGTACAAATACGAATCTATAGGATAATACAAGCATATATAATTATAAATCGGACATAATCATATTGTTCAAGGGACAATAACGATTATAAACTATTACAACGGTCAAATATAAATAATTGGTTGATGGTGGATTCCGTAACGTGGTCGAGACCCGCACGGAGATAAAATTATGAATAGAAATTATTATCTCCTAATGCAGGGGACCAGATTAAGTCTAATTTGTATGAACTAAAATTTAGATATGACATGTATAGTTGAAAAAATATAAACGTTTAACTTTTCTTCATTTCAAACGGTCGTCAAAACCGAATAAACTCACGTGTCTGGACGAATAAGTGTTTGATTCTGTACGTCCGATCCAATGGTTCATTTGACATTTTATCCTAAAAGAAATAAGGAACAAATACTCATTAAATTATTTCGTTTTACATACAATAATAAAATAAAAGCTAACCTTGGATATTATGTTCGTTTTATATATATTTATAACAAATTCTGGATTTATGTAATTACTGAAATTACAAAGGAATTAAAAAGGCTGTAGGATTGATGTATCATCTTTATGAAACGTTAAAACACGTTACTGCGATTCGGATAATATTACGTTAAAACAATCGTATAAAAATATTTACTACAGTATTACCATCGCAAAGGGATTCAATTAATATTTCAATAGTTTATCTAACCTATAGTAAACCCAAATCGGACTAACGATTTGCTCCAAAACGATTGATTTAGTAAACACTCATACTTGATATTCTGCTTCATTTTTTGTGCAGAAAAATGTACCTTTTCACGATATTATATTCTAGTCGGTATTTTGTTGTCATTAATAATCAACGATTGATTCAAGTAGGATTTTAAGGCAGGCGCGGATCCAGCCTACCATAACGGAAGGGGCGGATTATTACTTATAATTGATATCGTAATAAGTATACTCTATGAGTCGGTCGGGGCTGGCTGGCTGACGGTTGCCGTCGGTCATAATAATATTGTTCTTATCGACTATTCATTAATTTATGTTATAAAAATAAAATACGAAAATGTGTGATAATAACAATACATTAAAATGTTATTACACAAGATAATGTAATTTAATAGTACATCAAATAAAATTAACACATTTTGATATGGCCAACGGGGGGGGAGGTCGCCCCTACCATCCCTCTGGATCCGTGCCTGCTTTAAGGACACAATTTATAAGATATAATTAGCTGTTAATTAATTAATTACCTGTATACATTTATTATTGGACACTTTAATATTGTACGTCATTACAACTACATACGTATTGGTAGACAAACACTAAATACAAATAAATAGTATTAAAGCAGATGATTAATAATCATCAACAAACGTTATTGGATCAACAGTGTTTAAAATAGTACGAAAGAGGACGGTGCTCATTAGGCTAACCGTGTTTGAAATAATATGAAAGACGAAAGTACATCATGA